TGAATGTTTAGCATTATCTTTTATTTGAAGATCTGTAAAATATTTAATATTCTCATTTAAGCTAGACTTTTGTTTTGCTAAATGATATTTTGGTGGCGTTCTGATACTCTGCTTCATCTGTTTATATCTGTTGACATACCTTCTTTAAAAAAAAAAAATCTAGGGCGCCTGGGTGGCTCAGTCAGTTAAGCATCCAACTTTTGATTTTGGCTCAGGTCACGATCTCATGGTTCCTAGGGTCAAGCCCAATGTCAGACTCTGTGCTGACAGCATGGAGCCTGCTTGGGATCCTCTCTTTCTACCCCTCCCGTGCTCATGGTATGTCTCTGTCTCAAAATAAATAAACTTAAAAAAAAAATCTATTTTTTGTACCTACCAAAACTTTTGAAAGTATAAGATGGTCAGGACTGATTTTAAATATTCACTCCTATTCATGGAATGTGTATTAATTTTCTTGTATAGCATGATTTGATGCAATCAGTTAAACAGGCCAATGCATGAGGGGAATGTGTAATTAACTGCAAAACTAGAAAAAGTTTTTATCACCAAAAATAAATGGCCTAATAATGAAAATGTTTTATCATTTCTGATAGTAGGTGCTTAATAATGAAACACACTTTGTCAGAATACTGCCAGTTAATAATAATAAAAAAAATTTCCAAATAGAAAATAAATCTTTAAATGGAAACAGGAGAGCTGAGTATGAGACAGTAAAATCTCTATTGAATATGTTGTCTGTTTAGCTCAAAAAAAAAATCCAGGAAAGGTACAGTGATTTTCCACTTTTCACAGGATTAGAATTTCCTTCTGAGTATTTTGCAATGCTTCCTTCTCTGAGATACCTTCTACTTGTATTCAAATTAAAAATAATGTTTAATAATAAATTATTAGCATTGGCTCAGATAAGAAAATTATACAATTATCTTTGCCTTCAAGCAATTTATACAACCATAAAGTATATTTTTCTTGTCAACAGAATAAAAATGGTCGTTTACTGTTTTGTCATCCAAGTTAGGAGATAGAAACCACTTCCTAATTTTCAGCCCACTTGAAACTCTAAGCAAAAGCCAAATAAAAGAGTAATACCAATTTACCATTGAATAGAATTATATGATAAATAAGTCAGTATTTGGAAACAAGTTTATTGCTGACAATCCCGACAATGTATTATGATAAATTAATTATGGCTTTAAATTTTAGGTGTGTTTTTTGGTACATTTGAGTTTGTTTTTCCCTGATAAGGCTCAAAATGAAGTAGCTGACATGCTTAGTTTTGGTTTTTGTTTGCTTTGTTTTTTTCTGGTGTTTTTAACTTAGTAGTTGAAGCTCTCAAATCCAGCTCACTAACTCATTGACCCTTATGTGTGGACAAACCTCACTGTGCCTTGATTTTGACCCTTCTAACTTCTTTTTTTTTTTTTTTTTAATTTTTTTTTTCAACGTTTATTTATTTTTGGGACAGAGAGAGACAGAGCATGAACGGGGGAGGGGCAGAGAGAGAGAGACACAGAATCGGAAACAGGCTCCAGGCTCTGAGCCATCAGCCCAGAGCCTGACGCGGGGCTCGAACAACCGACTGCGCCACCCAGGCACCCCGACCCTTCTAACTTCTCATGAACCTGTTACTCTAACTGAAGTTATCTGGATGTGAACTATCCTAGTCTTCCAACTAACGTGGGGTTACTCTTTCTCTCTTTACTTAACAGTCCCTCTGATAGTCCTGTCACATGATGCATCCATCACGTCAAAAGAACCGTTTTTGGCATTTGCAATAGGTAATTTCTGAATTAGTCTATTATTTTTTCAAGGTTTAAGAAGATATTTGTAACAACTTTGGACCCTTAATACACTTTCTTACACACATTACTGAAAGGAAAATAAGCAAACCAACCAGACAAACAAAAACCTCTTTCTGAGAGAATCTGTGTTAAAAGATGGGTAACAAGGGAAGATAAAATGATGGAAAAAGTTAAAGAAACAGAATAATAGAATTAAAATCAAATCTCAGTGCTATCAAATGTTTTTAAATGAAGACCTATTTTAAATCCTGGAAAGAATATTATAGTCTACCTATTGGGAACCTATTTTAATATGTTTAATGTAGGTTAAAATGATCGATACTAGGAAGGTTATAACTGCTTTGTTTTGTTTTTTTAAATTTGACTTAACTACTGATGAGAATAAACTTCATTAGTAAGAAAAGAATTGGTGGGTGGAGGTGTTTAGAGAATAAATAAAAGGGGTTTTTTATTTTTATTTATATTTATTTACTTAATTCCAGTATAATTTATATACAGTGTTCCATTAGTCTCAGGTTTATAATATAGTGATTCAACGATTCTACACATTACTCAGCATTTATCACAGTAAACACACTCTTGATCCGCTTCACTGACTTCACTCATCTCACCACCCACCTCTTCTCCGGCAACCACCAGTTCTCTGTCTTTAAGAGTCTGGTTTTTTGTTTGTCTCTTTTTTTCTTTGTTCAGTTGTTTTTGTTTCTTAAATTCCATATATGAATGAAATCATATGGTATTTGTCTTTCTCTGACTGACTTATTTCACTATACCTTTAGATCCATCCATGTTGCAAATGGCAAGATTTCACTTTTTTTATGGACAGGTAATATGCCACTGTGTATATATAAAACATATTCTTTATTTATTCATCTATTGATGGATACTTGGGTTGCTTCCATATCTTATCTATTGCAAATAATGCTGCAATAAATATAGGCGTGCGTATAGTTTTTCAATTTAGTGTTCTAATTTTCTTTGGATAATAGTCATGGAATTATTGGATCTTATGGTATTTCTAATTTTTTGAGGAATCTCCATACCGTTTTCTATAGTGACTGCACAAGATGCATTCCTACCAACATTGCATGAGGGTTCCTTTTTCTCCACATCGTTACCAACCAACATGTTATTTCTTGTCTTTGATTCTAGCCATCTCACAGGTGTGAGGTGATAGCTCTTTGTGTTTTTGATTTGCATTTCCCCAAGATCAGTGATGTCGAACATCTTTTCATGTGTTCATTGGCCATCTGTATATCTTCTTTAAATAACTTTCTATTCAGATCTGCCCATTTTTAAATTTTGTTTTTTAATGTTTGTTTATTTTTGGGAGAGAGAGAGAGAGGCAGGCAGAGAGAGATGGAGACACAGAATCCTAAGCAGTCTCCAGGCTCTGAGCTGTCAGCATGGAGCCAGACTTGGGGCTTGAACTCACCGGTCATGAGATCATGACCTGAGCCCAAGTTGGGTGCTCAATTGATTGAGGCACCCAGGTGCCCCTCTCTGCCCATTTTTAAATGAATTTTTTTTTGCATTGAGTTGTATAGTTTCTTTATATATTCTGGATATTAACCCCTTATCAGATATATTATTTGTAAATACCTTCTCCCATTCTATAGGTTGCCTTTTTATTTTGATGGTTTTCTTCTCTGTGTAAAAACTTTTTATTTTGGTGTAGTCCCAATAGTTTATTTTTTTTTTATTTGCTTGCCAAAAAAAGGCTTATTTGGAAAAATTCTAAGGTTGATATCAAAGAAATTACTACCTATGTTTTCTTCTAGGGATTTTATGGTTTTAGGTCTCACATTTAAATATTTAATCCATTTTTAGTTTATTTTTATGTATGGTATAAGAAGGTGGTCCAGTTTTGTTCTTTTGTGTGTAGCTGTCCTGTTTTCCCAACACGATTTGCTGAAGAGATTGTCTTTTTTCCTACTGGAAATGCTTGCCTCCTTTGTCATGGATTAATTGACCACATAATTGTAGGTTTATTTCTGGGCTATTTTGTTCCATTGATCTGTGTCTATTTTTGTGCCAGTACCATACTGTTTGGACTACAACAGCATTATAGTAAATCTTGAAATTTGGGGTTGTCATACCTCCGGTTTTGTTCTTCTTTTTCAAGATTTCTTTGGCTATTCAGGGTCTTTTGTGGTTCCATACAAATTTTAGGATTGTGTTCTAGTCTGTGAAAAATGCTATTAGTATTTTGATAGGGATTTCATTAAATCTGTAGATTGCTTTGGGTAGTAAGTACAGACACTTTAACATTTGTTCTTCCAATCCACGAGCATGAAAATTTTTTCCATTTGTTTATGTCTTCTTCAATTTCCTTCATCAATGTTTTTTAACTTTTCAGATGATATAATCTTTTGCTTCCTTGGCTAAGTTTATTCCCAGCTATTTTATTACTTTTGGTATAATTGTAAATGGGATTGTTTTCTTAATTTCTTTCCACTACTTCATTATTAGTGTATAGCAATGCAAAGATTTATATCCTGCTACTTTACTGAATTTAGTTATCAGTTCTAGTAGTTTTCTGGTGAAGTTTTGGGGTATTCTATATATAGTATCATGTCAACTGCAAAAAGTGAAAGTTTCACTTCTTCCTTACCAACATGGATGCCTTTTATTACTTTTTCTTGTCTGGTTGCTATGGCTGTGATTTCCACTACTCTGCTGAATGAAAGTGAGAACGGACATCCTTTTCCTCTTCCTGATCTTAGAGGAAATGCTCGCCGTTTTTCCCCATTGAGTATGGTGTTAGTGTGGGTTTTTCATTTGTCCTATATAATGTGAAGTATGTCCCTCGAAACCTACTTTGTTGAGAGTTTTTGTCTTGAATGGATATTGTACTTTGTCACATGCTTTTTCTGCATCTCTTGAGAAGATCATATGGTTTTTATCCTTTCTCTTGTTGACGTGATGTATCATGTTGATTGATGTGCAAATATTGAGCCATTTGAGAAAGAAATCCCACTTGCTTGTTGTGATTGACATTTTTAAAATGTATTGTTAGATTTGATTTACTAATATTGAGGATTTTTTTTTGCATCTATGTATATCAGAGATATTGGCCTGTAGTTTTACTTTATGTGTAGTGTCTCTCTTATTTTGATAACAGGGTAATTCTGGCCTCATAGAATGGAATTGGAGGATTCTTTCCTCTTAAAAGGGAAATGATTGCTTTATTTTCTCTTCCATTGTGTGTTTTTGTTTTTGATTTTCCCATTTCATGTGTATACTAGTCTCAAGTCTTTGGGGGAATAATCCATATCCAAACTCAAAGGCTGCATCTGCCCATAACCTACAATTAGGCCCCAAGGGACATATCCTTTCAGACCAGCCCTCTTCTCACACATGCTCTCTAAACCACCCAACATCTGCATGGTATAGGATTTTACTCTTTGGCCTCCTCCTACTTACCAATTGCCTTGGCAGTGATCTTGACCCAGGACGGTCTTTATATTCCACCAACAACAGATACACACTTTTAACCAAATCAGAACTCACAACTCAATCTGCAAAATTGGTCTAGAAAGTACCTATATTTGGTAGTTTTCTTACCTATCTATTGGAGATCAAAACGTCTGCTACGTTCTCTTCACCCAATAATGTGTTCAAGGAAAGGATGAAGTATGTTCAGATCCTAAAGAAACCCCACAGCTAGGCAACTGTCCTAGAATATCAAGTTCATTTAGTCTTGCTAATTATTTTAAATTACCTAAACTTCCCAATAATAAAATTCCGTCATCATTATCCATCGTTTGTTCTTGTCCCTTACAATTTGATTCACATATCCTTCTTTCAGACGTAGACATGCTTATATTAACCTTATGAACAAGCCAGTTTTGTGAAACAGGTCTTGGTACCCATTCCCTGAAGCAGCTGAATTCTGCATTCACCAGTTAAAGAGCATATGTGCACTTTGGATTTGAAAAGATTGAGGCTAAGTTGCTGATGTGGGCAAGTCACACAGTCAGCTCATAAAGCCTTAATTAAATAAACATTGTGCTTTCTTAATTCTGGTATAGTAAAATCTACAGCATCCCTTAGGAACATTTAAAATACCCAACAGAGCCTTAGCACCTCATTTAGCAACCATTGACTTAGGCCAGTGATTTGGATGGATAGTGTTTGGATTCAATTACTTTGAAATAAGGGAACAAATAGAAGTCAAGTTAATTATCATATTGCCTTAGTTGAGATGCTTTCTTTAATTTAGAAAAAGGAGTGGGAAAACAACCTATGATCAACTCTATTCAGTAGGCTCTCAGATACCAGGGCTTGCACATGGTAAACAATAATTTTGTTGCTGGTGTCATCTGTGTTCCCCAGGAACAATGGCCTCATCATTCATTGCGCCAGCGTCGCTCCTCTGAAAGACTTCCTGGAGTGAAGACACTGCCATCGTTTTCATATGGTCCTGTCTAGTGATAGCAGAAGGATTGGAGTACCTGTTGACACAATAAGCATTTGTATATGAATTGAAGTGCCTTATTTACTTGTGTGCTAGAAATGCTTGGTTGAGAGATCAAATAGATCAGTTTAAGGTCCAGTTCTGCTCCTTTTAAAAAATTACTGGACATCCATAGCCTTCAGAGTGGTTTGTTTGTTTGTTTGTTTGTTTGTTTTTCTGTCTGTAAATTGGGTTAATCAGAGCTCAAGGATATTTTTACGATTAATGCAAACAATTGTGGCAATATAGTTGGCACTCAGTAAATCAGCTTTTGAGGTCAACAGAGTAAGGAGTAAGAGGGAGAAATTTTAAATCCTACTGTAACTTGCCAGACACACACACACATACACCTACTCACACCCAGCTGAGTGCTCAGAATCAGTGAGATAAAGCAGGAAATGTGTGCATCATTTATATTGTTAAGAACTTGGGGATCATGTGCCATTGGAGGAAAATTGGAGGTTAGTATTGCAAACAACCATCTTGATAAATAGGACGTGGGGCTGAAATCAATAAAAAAAGGGATTCAATAAAAACAAATGTAAACTACACAAACAACTGTTCCATGGGGATGGAGATGTAAGCTATAATGAATGATAAATTGAGTATAAGTCAACAATATGATGCTTTCATATAAAATCCCAGATACAGCTTTGGGGTATATTAATAGGGAGAGCATGGATGAAATGGGAGGTAATTATTTTGCTCTACCAGCACTCTTTAGGCCTCAATTGGATAACTGTGTTCAGTATTTGTTCCTCAGTTGAAAGAGAATCATAGATAAATTTGAATGAGTTCAGAAGAGAGCAACAAAAATGATAAAAGGCTTGGAAAATGAGATCTGTTTGGAAACATTAAGGGAGCTGGGCATGATCAGACTAGAAGAAAGATAACAGAGAAACAGGGTAACTACTAACACACAGGAAAGATACTGTAAATGAGAGAAGGGATCACTTATTCCCACCAGTCACTCAGAGTTGAGTAAATAGGGGTTGGGCTGCAGTAGATAAAACTTAGTGTAAATATTAAACACAATTTTGTGAGTAAAGAGCAGTTTAACACGGAAACAAGGTGCCTTTAGTGATTATGAAACTTACTTATTACATAATTTCAAGTGTCAAACTTGGAATTATCCTCTGGTAATTTTGATATGGGGAAAAGGACATGATGACTCAGCTTATCCCCGAGCCATTTTTATATCACAACTCTACAAATATGCCCTATAACTTCGTGCCTCTGCTGACACAATTACAGATAAAGTCATGATTAATCTGACTTTTTAAATTTTTTTTTCAACGTTTATTTATTTTTGGGACAGAGAGAGACAGAGCATGAACGGGGGAGGGGCACAGAGAGAGGGAGACACAGAATCGGAAACAGGCTCCAGGCTCCGAGCCATCAGCCCAGAGCCTGACGCGGGGCTCGAACTCACGGACCGCGAGATTGTGACCTGGCTGAAGTCGGACGCTTAACCGACTGTGCCACCCAGGCGCCCCATAATCTGACTTTTTAAATGTGTTCTTTGTTACTTAATCATTTTACTTTATGGGATGTTTTGACTTAATTTAGGTGATGGAAGTGTTGATTTTTTTCCATCACTGTTTTCCCATTGATTCCTCTTCTTCATATTCTTCCTTTTATTAGATTCAGTTTCTGATCAACTGTCATGGTACTAAATGATGTGAGCAAACGTTCTGAGTCAAAAACTTTATAATAAGGCTTGCTTTATTTTTATAACTTCCTGCTTGAGCAGGTTCGGTAAACTAAGGGACATAAAATACTCCTTAGGGGCAGGTCATGGGCTTCCAAATGCAAGATAATTAGGCCTTTTGTATTAACCTTCATTATACTTATGATTAATGTAGAATTAAATAAGCACCACAATGTACGATGTGAACCTAGACACTATATTAGCAAGTTGAGATTCAATTGCCTTTTTTTGTTAAAGAAAAACAACACCTGCATTTAATGAGACTATTTAGAGTTCCTGGCATAGAGTAGGGATTTAATAAACAACTATTCTTTCTGCTTACCTTTCTTTAAAAACATTTTGAGTGTCACTTCTTCTGCACAAACTCAGTAGTGGCCGCTGTCTCCCATGTAAATTTCAGTCTCAATGAAACTGCTTTCAAGGCTTTTTATAATATGAATCTGCTTTTCCTTTCGAGTCATTCTTTGCTTCTTTCTTGGTTGAATAGGAGTTTTGTTGATGTAGAAACCATATTTGGAATAGTCAAAACCTAGAACTGTCTGGAGAGCAGGTTACTGAAGAATGGCCGCCAGGATGAGATATGGTTATGCATACAGATGGTGCATAGGACTTAGGTGGCACTTTCAGGTCTCTTATTTATTTTTTCCATCACAGTGCTTATACACATTCACTTAAAGACACTGACTTCATAGTCCACCCAGCTCCTTCAGTGGGTACAACAAGCAGGAACAGTGGGGAATGCACATTTTTGATTATAATGTTTGTAAGATTTAAGTACCAATACCTCTGATCTCTGAAATTGGTGTTTGGACTTTGTCTTCTTTATATTCAAGTTTTATTTCCCAGCAGATGTTGACTGACTGCCTCAGTTGCTCTGGGTTTCCCATGTTCTTACAAAGGAAATTCCCTTTTCTCACTGTGACCCTTAAGAATCTTACCTGGCCTCTGAACGCTGTGCTAACAGTATGTGTTTAATCCTACTCACCCCAAACGGTTGATTCAAACACCTGGAAATTCTATGAGTTCTATAAGTTCTTTGAGTGCTTTGAGTTCTATAAGTTCTATAAGTTCTATGAGGTCTTTGAGTGCTCAGGCTGTCTTCAAGAAACAATAAGAATCTTTAAAGGGGAGAGGGAAGGGAAAGAATTAAAAGCCAGGTAGAAAACGGATCACTTCCTGGCTTGACTATCTGCAGTAACCTGGACTGTTTGCTGGTCACCCTGCTTCCACTTTATCCACCTGTATTCAGTTCTTTGCGAAACATCCAGAGCTTTTAGTCCATTCTTCTGTTTCAAGCTTTTCTGTAGCTTCCTTAAACAAACAAACAAAACACAAATTCTTAACCGTAGCAGAAGATTTCTTCATCATTTGCATCTTATATATCCAAACTTACATAAAACCTCTCACCCCTTTGCTGCCAAAGGGCCACACATTTTGTCTAACCTTAAGTCCTTCAAATCTATGAACTTCTTCCTATCCTAGGGTCTCCCGTGTGCTTTCTTTGTTTTTGTCTGAAATGCTCTCTTCTGGCTTTTGTGTGCTGTCTCTTTTTTAATAATTGAAGATTCGTATTAAATACTAGTTTCTCAAAGTTTCTTTTTGTACCTCTATCTTTGGATGTGCATTTTTTTGTTAATTTTTAATACAGCACCTAATATATACTTTTATAGTATGCCGTATAGTGAATAGGTTTGATATTTACTGATTGGATTACCTTTTTGTTGTCTGCTGCTTTTACTAGGCTGTAAACACTGTAAGGACAAGATTTCTGTCTTTCCGCTGCAACGTTGTATGCCAAGTGCCTTGAACAGTATCTGGTTACCAGTAAGAATGTACAAAATACATGTCTTTATGACTGAATCTCTGAAACTCAACCTCACAAACTAAGCCCTTAGTCTGTAGCCTAGGTCTCTAGGTTAGTGTGCCTGAACCATTATCAACTGACCCTTAAGGCTTGTTTTATTCTTTGTTCATGCTGGGCTTTTTCATTTTTTATCTTATTGGAATCTGTCTCTAACAAAGTTGATCCAAACCAAGAGTAAGAAACTCTTTGTCTCACCTTGTTTCAAAAATCCTTTACTCACTATTCAAGTACTTATTTCTTTCCTACAGAGCTTTCAACTTAATTGTAAAGTGTAGATGACTCACATAGCCTAGACTGAATAAATAATTCAACTCCTCCAAACATTTTTTTTTTTTTAATTACAACACATGTTACTAGTCTCATTAGGTTTTCAGGTTCTTTCTGATGGCTCATAATTCACAAATTGCAGTAAATATAAGTGATGCAATTTCTTCTCTACTAAGAAGAATACATTCTCACTAGAAACTCCCAAATTTAGCTGCAGATATAAAAACAGTTTAATATCAATGCTAATAAGAACTGATGGTATAGGAGTTTCTTTAATACTTGGGGAGGATTATAAAACTTAAAAGAAAAGATAGAATTTGTAAGTCACTTTTTTTCTCCATTCTCCCAGTTTATGCACCTACTCTTCTTATGTCATTCAGTCTGAACAGAAAAGTATAGAACAAACAAACAAACAAAATAAGACTAACAAGGTGCTCTGATAATTCCTGACATAAAATATTTACTCTTTCATACCTGAATAATATATATGTTGACTTATTTTTTAAATATAAAGTTAGATTATTCTATAGAATGTAATTGTGGATTTTAATGGAATTTGTATATGCTAAGGTTTTAATATGGTTTTAGATCCAGTCTAAATTCCCCTAGCCTGGAGGATTGTGTCCATTTGAATTACGGTTTTTATCTTCTTATGAAGGATAATTATTTTATTGATCCCCTGCAATGTCCTATTCCATATTCAGTATGAAAGAGTAAATATTTTTGTGATCAAAGTATTCCATTGCTTTTAGAAAACCATGATTCCATTCTGTAATTCACTTCTGACATCAAAACCTGGAATATTAAATCAGTGCTTTTGTTTAAACATGATAAGAGCTTATTGGAATCCTAAACTCTGGTGTCTGTATAGATAATTGTACAGTTTTTAGCCCTGGAGTTTCATAAGCTTTTGATGAAAAATACAGCACATAATTTATCAGAACATTGTATAGTAGTTATTTTCACTTCAAATAATAGTGATAGTGATAGAAATATTAACTTGTATCAGTGTATACTACACAGTGTATTATATGTATAATATTAGTTATTATATTAGTTATTAGTTACACACACATACACACATGCCTTGACTTAGTTAAGTATTCTTTGAGGTTGGGGGATAAAGATACAGAGGAACAGAGTTCCTAAGTGATTCTCTCAGTTCACACAGCAATGTTGTAAAAGAGGTTAAGTTAGAATGTGTTCTCCATACTTAAACTATTATCTCTCTTCTGGCATGAAGATAATCCAGTGCCTAATATTTAACAAGCCTGCATGTCATTGATACAAACTGTGTTGTTAAAATTTTTTGATTGGTAACTTGGCTAAAGGGCATAATATTGATACATACTCTTTTCATACATCATCATTTGCAACTGAACCAGGACTGTGGTTTTTAGGATATGAGGTTAAATGGTGTAGATTCTGCTGTCACAGAAGAGTACACAGATGCATTTATAGTCACATAGTAAGTCTATTTTATTCAAATGTAAAGTAAAATAAAATAGAAAAACAGAGCCAATTTATTAAAAAGGAATAATGCTGTGTAAACCAGCTAACTGAACATGAAAGTTATCATTTGTTTAGGACTGCTGGATATAGGCTTATTTTCTATTCTGTTTTAGATTCATTGGATTTAGGGAGGAAAATGTCAGCGAAACTAGCATTTGCCAAAAAATAAAAAAAAGAAGTGATAATCATGGCCAGTGACCACTGTCACTAGTGTTATCTCATTCACCATTCTGTAGCACTCTGTATTAGCAAAATGTTTATAGTTATAACTCATTTTAGCTATAAGAGACCATAAAAGTTGGCAGCTCCAGCCTCCATCCATGAGGCATTGGAGGTCATAGCTCTGGCTGGTATCAGATAGGTCAGTGGTTGAGGAAGAAAATGAAAAAGAATAGGAAAAGGAGGAACTGGAAAAACATAAATAAGGCTTAAAAAAGGTGGGAAGCCCTAGGGGTGCCTGGGTGGCTCACTCGATTAAGTGTGTGACTTTGGCTCAGGTAATGATCTCATGGTCATGAGTTAAAGCCCCGCATCAGGCTTTCTGCTGTCCTTGCGGAGCCCGCTTTGGATCCTCAGTCTCCCTCTCCTTCTGTCCCCTCCTGCACTTGCTCTCTCTTTCTGTCTCTCAAAAATAAATGGAAACTAAACAGTTTCAGAATAAAGCAATTTAAATGAGAATAAAATCTCATCAAAGATAGGTGTCTGGTGAAGAAATCTAATAAACTATTGACATACCAAAAACAAATAAACAACCCTGTGAAATATGTTTGTACAGTAAGTCAAATGACACACAGTATTTTAAAGTAGACAGCCATCCAAGGATGGCTAAAAGTTATTACTTATTTGAGTTCAAATTATGACCCATTCATTAGAAGGATCAGGAGAAGCTTCAAAAACTAATTTGGGACCTATCTCTTTCTCTTACCTCAGGTCATCATCTAGCATTGTCTTATTAAGCCATTACTAAGACCCTTATTCCAATGCAATGTTAAATACTTTCCTATTGTGTTTGACTTTACATTTTCTTTAAATTTTTTTTTCAACGTTTATTTATTTTTGGGACAGAGAGAGACAGAGCATGAACGGGCAAGGGGCAGAGAGAGAGGGAGACACAGAATCGGAAACAGGCTCCAGGCTCTGAGCCATCAGCCCAGAGCCCGACGCGGGGCTCGAACTCACGGACCGCAAGATCGTGACCTGGCTGAAGTCGGACGCTTAACCGACTGCGCCACCCAGGCGCCCCTACATTTTCTTCATAAGGCCTCTGTTTTAAGAATTTTCTTACTCTCACATAGAAAATACAGGTATCAAATCTTATGAAATTAACTGCTTCTATCATAAATGAATAAAATGGGATCATCTTGGTGAAGGGAACTAGCACTGAGACCAGCTGGGTTTCAGTTCTGCTCGAGTCACTTCTTAGCTCTATGACCTTCAATCAGGTTAACACTAGACCTAACACTTTTTTTTTTTTAAATAGAGATATTAATGTTTTGTTTGTTCGTTTGTTTTAGTAGGCTGCATGCCCAATGTGGGGCTTGAACTCAAGACCCTGAGATTTAAGAGTCATGTACGAGCTCTCCGGACTAAGTCAGCAAGGTGCGCCTAGACCTAACACTTTAGGCTTTAGTTTGCCCATCTTTGGAACAGAAGGCCTCTAAGGTTTTATCCTGCTCTGATAGGACTTTGTTCTAAATTCTCACATACCATCATTATCCCACTCTTGTGTTTAGCTATGAATAATCTGCTTGTATGCCTCTCCAGTTTATGTTCTTTTTGTTTTTTTTTTTTTAATTTTTTTTAAGTTTATTTATTTTTGAGACAGAGAGAGACAGAGCATGAATCGGGGAGGGTCAGAGAGAGAGAGGGAGACACAATCTGAAACAGGCTCCAGGCTCTGAGCTGTCAGCACAGAGCCCGACGCGGGGCTTGAACTCATGAACTGAGAGATCATGACCTGAGCCGAAGTTGGACGCTTAACCGACTGAGCCACCCAGGCACCCCTGTTCTTTTTCTTTTTAAGTTTATTTATTTCTTTTGAGAGAGAGCGATAGAGTATGGAGGGGGTGGGCAGAGAGACAGGGAGAGAGAATCCCAAGCAGGCACTGCACCATCAGCATGGAGCCCAATGCAGGGCTTAAACCTACAAACTGTGAGATCATTACCTGAGCCAAAATCAAGAGTCAGATGCTTAGCCGACAGAGCCACCCAGGTGCACCTCCAGTTTGCATCCTGTATATTCAATGTAATGAGTAAGTGTTTAAGCACCCATATACTTGAACATATAAAAGTTCCAATACTTAATGTGCATCTTAGTCCATCTTGGTGACTGTAACAGAAATAAATACCAGAGACTGGGCGGCTGGAACAGCAAACATTTCTCACAGTTCTGGGAGCAGCCCAGGTTCACAGCACTGGCAGATTTGGTGTCTGATGAGGCCTGCTTTCTGACTCATAGATGGTCACTTTACAGTGTCCTTACATGGTAGAAGGGATGAGGCAGCTCTTATGAAAAAGACCCTAATCTCATTCATTCAGGTCTCCACCCTCATGACCTAAACACATTTCGAAGGCCCAACCTCTTAATACCATCACATTGGCAGATAGATTTCAACATATGAAAATGAGGGGGCACAAAAATTGAGTCTTTTGCAGTGAACTACTCCAGCCTTTTCCAAAGTGGCATGTGACAATGCTATCGTAATAGCCCTGAACCTCGTGGTGGTAAGGGTTATTCTCTTTTCATATCTTTTCAACTATTTGATCATACCAAGTAGAGTCTTGGTTTGGTGCTAAGAAGGCTTTAACACCTTTATAAACACTTACGTGATTTCCTCTTAAGAAAGTGAAACAACAAATGCAGCATCGGCCCTTAGGCTCAGAGCTTTCAACAGAATCTAAGCAGATGATAATACCACTGTTTTGCGTTTGGAGTATTTTCATGTTTGTTTATGTATAACAAGTGATGATTACCTTAAATGTGTAATAATAATAATATTATAATTTTCCAATTAAAAGATAGTGAAATAAAATATGTATGTATTTAAAAGAAAATATTAAATAAGAGCGCAGATGGCATGCGAATGCTGCAAAAATTGTGGAAAAGGTTGACTAAATTTGAGGAAAACTGGGCTACTCTACATGTTCTCAAAATAGCCTGTTGTGTTACTCTTTGGCAAACATGTTGGACATTTTGAAATCCTGCTCGATAAATTTAACGAGGATATTCTTTCAGACTCTGAAGTGTTTTAACTTACTTTGGCTGTGAAATCATTGAGTCAGTGTTAAATAAGCTAAGTTTCTCAGAGCTCATGAAATTTGTAATCTTATTCTGATGACAACCATTTACATTCTAAAATCTATAACTGTATTTCAAACTGTGACAGCTTTACCTACACGATTTCGGCACAACTGTCTCTTCCTTATAATTTCAAAAGCCTTTACAGCCTAGAAAGTTGATGTCTGTGAATTACCTTATAATCAATGGGTTCTGCTAGACATGGGGGAATTATGTAAATTAATAGGCTAATAGTATATAAACTCCAAGGGCTTACATATTTTTGCTTGTAATAATCAACTGTTTTCAGAAATGGACTTGTTTTAGATGTATATTATATTTATTATATTTAAATGATACCTTAGGTCAACTTTTTCTTTTTTTTTTTTGCCCTTAAACTTTTCATTAAAAATTATTATGGCCCAGGTGGAATTGAACAAGACTGTAGTATTTATTTAAATATTAATTCATTCAAAATACAGGTAGATTCCAGAGAATAGAGGTGACCAAAATATACTCTTTGTTGTCATAGATGCTTACTATGAAGTCAAGGAATTGGATAAGCAAGAGATAAAAATAGTGACGTAAATGCTTAGGATAATGGGGATACCCAAATTTATCCACTAATTATGAGGTCCTGAAATACTTTGATGTACTTATTTTTTGCTAGGTCAGACTCTGAAGCTTGTAAAAACATAGTGGACTATACACTTAGTATCAGTCTGGTGAAACCTGATAGGATACTGCAACATATCTCCTCTACAACTTGGAATGGGAAAGCAGGTTGTAATGTTACAGAATCTTTACTGTGCTACTTTACTTTTAGCTTCTTTAATACACATCTGAGTTTAGAACATGTTCCCACATGTGCTATTTATTTCATTCTTGTAATGGCCCAGTGAAAGAGATATCACCCCCATTTCCCAATTTACAAATGAGGACCCAGTAAAGCTAAGTTACCTGACCACTATTACTTATGTTGAAACTGACAATAGCTGTACTTAAATCTAGGTCTTTCCACTATGCTGATGCTGATTCTATTTCTGCGGAATGTCAAAAGTAGATTATCCAGTGAGTTTTTCCTTTATTTTATAAATGAGGAAACTCATATCTAGAAAAGATGTGACTGATATAAAGCCACATTCCTGAGTACTGGAGAAGACACATGTATTTAAGGAAGGAATGCTTATTCTGAAATCTGATAAGTTCTGATAATTGGTGAGAAGTTACCTAAACTGCTAGCTCAATAACTGGACAGAAACAATGCCTTGGAAAGATCACTGGGTGGGACATCAGAAGACCTGGGTTCTAGTTATGCCATATTGCAAACTATTTGTGGACCCTTTGGACACACTCGTTGCTTTCCCTTTTATGGGATCTCTATTAACTTCACTTGCTAGAGAAAAGAAAAGGGCACCAAGTGGTGATAGGTAGCTTTCCCCATAAGCGAGGTATTACAGAGTTCCATTCCACAAGGTCACACATAGAGGGATGAATGGTTATGGATGGTTCCATAGCATCCAGTATCCAAAAGGAGACTACAATGCAGGACTGAACAGAAGAACTATATACAGAAATTGCTGGAACACTTGTAGTTTCTGTAACTGTCAGTGTCATTATCCAGCTCTTATCCTGATTGGATATTGGCAGTAAAATAGTTAAGTATAAAAAGGAATTAATTTGGATTTCAAAGACATTAAGGAAATGGAGCTTTATGTACTTCTTAGCATTAACTTTGTCCTCTCCTTAACTTTCCCCAATTGAGTTCCCTTAATTTTCCTGGTAATGCCCTGTGTTGGTTTTCTAGAGCTGCTCTAAGAAAGTACCACAGACCAAGTGGCTTAAACAACAGAAATTGATAGTCTTACCATCCTGGAGGCTGGAAGTCCCTAGTTCAGGGTATGTGCAGGGTTGCTTCCTTCTAAGAGCTACAAAAGAGAATCTGTCCCATGCCTGTCACCCACCTTCTTGTGGTTTGCTGGCAGTCTGTGGCATTCCTTGGCTCATAACAGCATCACTGTGATCTCTGCCTTCATCTTTACTTAACATTCTCCTTGTGTGCATGTCTGTGTCCAAACTTCCCATTTTTATAAGGACAGGAGACATATTGGTTAAGGGCCCACCTAATGGGCCTCATCTTAAAAAAAAAAAAAAAAAAAAGTATATTTATAATGACGCTATTTCCAAATGAGGTCACGTTTTTAGGTACCGAGGGTTAGGAAGTCAATATATGAATTTGGGACAGGGGTAATAATTTATCATGAATTCAACCTGTTGTGTATCCGCTTAGCTAAGCAAATCATCGCACATGTACTTGATAAGTGTAACAAGGTTCCTCCAGAGAAGCCAGAACAAGTAGAGTGTGTGTGTGTGTGTGTGTGTGTGTGTGTGTGTGTGTGTGTGTGTGTACACACACAGATTAAAAGGGAAGGGAAAGATTGATTGATTGTAAGGAATGGTACTATCATTATAAGAACTATCTGCAAGTCTGAAATTCATAGGGCAGGCCACCAGGAAGGGCAGTTTGGAAACTTGAGGTCATGAGCTGATGCTGTAGTCTACGATGAATTCCTTCTTCCCCAGGGAAACCTCACTTGCATTCTTAAGGCCTTGGACTGAATGAGTGTGGCTCATCCAGACTATCCAAGATAATCTCTTCTGAATAAAACCAACTGATTGCAGATATTGGTCATATCTATAAAACACCTGCACAGCAACACCTGGAGTACTGTTCAATTAAATAATCACGTATGAGAGCATAGCGAGGTTGACCCAAAACCTTCCCATGACAGTAAGTAACAGGGAAGGAGGCAGAAGGCAACTACATTATTCCTCAGGCCCAAGTGAAATGCAGGTGATAATCTTAGATAGAGCATCCAGTAATGGTGGACAGACTAGTCCCTGTGTGGGAGGCTGGGTGTGCTATTTTGTCACAGCCCAGGACCCTTGATGCATTTTTCCTTTCTAACATAGCCTCAAAACAACCTCCTCTCTTTCAGTGTATATCATGAAGCTGTAGCTTCATTCTTCCAATTCAATCTTGTGTTCTCTGAAGAGAAAATGCCCAAAGCAATTTTCACCCCATCACACACTGGTAATCATTTTATTTTTCTGATTATGTTTCCTTCTCTCTTTCAGCCCTTTGGTAAATTACGCAGGGACCCTTTATTCTCATTCTCTCTTTTTCTGTCTCTCTGTGTCTCTATGCTAAGTGCCAGCTGTCATTGCTTGGCAGATAATTACCATTTTACAAACAGTATTTAGGGAAATGACATCAGTTTCCGAATGTACGGCTGTCATGGCTTATTCACAGGGCTTTCCTCTGTTAACCACCTTCTCTGTGCTCAGGCTGAGTGGAAGCAGTGGGGATTAAGGGGAGGGGAAAAGGGAAGACCCCTTGGCTCCAACCTTGTGGAGAACAATTGCATCCCATTTGTCACTGTTAGTCTGACAACACTCATTTCACTCCTCCCAAATTCCCCCTGCCATATTCTGCTTTTAGTGGATACATAAATGATTGCTTATACGAGTTCAGTGGACTGGCTCCCCCACTGCAGTTTTTATAGCTTGAAGAAGTAGATGGGTGGAAAGGCAGAAGATACTCTTTTCTGTCCTGGATGATGGTATCCACTGAGCCATACAGGTCTCTCTCTCCTTTGATGTTCTTGATTGTGCTGTTGGATGAAAAATATCCTAAAATATTATGAAATACAAAGTGCACTAGTTTAAGTTCCTTAAATTAGTTCAGTAATCTGCTTCCCAGAAATGTTGGTTTAAAGATCCTGTTGGGTGCACAAGATTGAATAGATATAAACAAACTGAGAAAATAAACACATTGGTTAACTTCAGTTTAGGGGTCAACTAGTGTCCTGAAAAGAACACTAACTAGTTTTCAAGTTAGGTTATCTGCATTCTCTTCTAGGCTATCAGTTAAGGAAAGTAAGCCATTTTGTTTCTCTAGCCCTCAGTTTACCATTGTAAATTAATAACAATAATGACAATGATAGCAAACTTTGTGTTAGGCACTATTCCAAGTACCTTATTTATGTTAATTATTTAACCTAAAGTGATAACCTTATGGATATATTGTATTATGCATATCCTAAAACAGGGAAAATGAAGACACAGAGATGTTTTGTTACTTGTTAACTGGCTTTGAACTTAGGTGGTCTGGTTCTAGAGATAGACTCTTGGCTTCTGCAGGGGATGTCGATCTCAGTGTTTTCAGCAAGTGTAGAGGGAAGAGTAGGGGTGGTGTCAGAGAGCTTGTATACTAATCATTCAGAAGCCTTTCAAATTATGTAGCCCCTTGTTTTTCCCACTCCCTACCTCTGTGATCAAGGTTGTGATATTCTTCTCCAAGAGCAACATTGCCAGAAGGGGAGGGATGTATAATTTGGAAAAGCTTACTCAAGACAGGTGGATAACTACTGTAGTAGCGAGTTCCTCGTCCTTCCCAGGCCTGAGGGAAAGGATTCTATGGTGGCAGCAAATTGGGCTAAATAGCTATCACTTCGTAGACTTGACTTGCAATTTTTATTGAGTCAGAAGTGATTGGAATGGACAAGTTTAGGGAGTTCAAGTCATTTGGTGTCTTCTTACAGTAGGAAATACAAGCAGTTTCCAATTCACAAATTGCCAATTTACCTACAAAGATCTCTTTCATATGAACGGTTCCTTAGTTCACAAGTCTTAGTGGCCTGGTTCCTTCCCATCACAACTGAAGATGTTCTCATTTTTTATTCTACTGGAGTTCCATATTGGCTTTCTTCCCCACCACAGCTATTGCCTTTCTTCCCTTCTTCTTTTTCTTCCTTCTCTATTACATAAGCGCAGCCAGGATTGCACCAAAGATAGATATGTTTTTGTGCTTTATCTATAAAGAGAATGAGGTTGATATAGAATAAACTTGGTACAATGAGCCTTAAAGTTTCTGCTATCATGAACATTGTAACTTAGTGATAGGACAGGAGGGAGTTAAATCAGGTTCTGTGTGTAGAACTGCAATCCCAATAAAGCCTCTGGTTCAACAGACAAGTATAAACCTGGGGACCTAGGAGGCTTCCTCTCAAATGCTGATTCTTCCTAGTTTTGGTCTTAACAGCCTTGAGTAAGTCATATAATGTTAACTTTTCTCATCTGTAACATGGAGATAATTTCTGTGCAGTATTGTTATGACAAAAAGAGGTAATATGCCTTGCATATGTTGGAACTCAGTGGAGATTAGTCATTATTATCCATCATGCTTTTATAAGACTACTTCTGTGGGAAATAATAGAGCCACCTTCCAAATAACCAACTTCCATCATGGTATTTTTAAGGATTATTTTACAAGCTGGGATTGTTCATTAGTTATTGCAAAATATTCCCCTTTATTTAGTTTGTTTCTGTGTATGAATTAAAGATAGATGAAGGAGGGGTACCTGGGTTCCTCACTTGTTACGCACCCAGCTTTCGATTTCAGCTCAAGTCATGATCTCACGGTTTGTGGGATTGAGCCCCACCTCGGGCTCTGTGTTGATGGCACAGAACCTGCTTGGGATTTTGTCTCTCCCTCTCTCTCTGCCACTCCTTCATTCTCTCTCTCTCTCAAAATAAAAAATAGACTTTAAAAAATATATAGATGAAGGAAATAAATAACTCTGGTCCTAGCCACTGAGTTAAATGTAATGATCTACAGTGTGTGTACACCCTGCATAACATTACTCACATTTGACATTCTGATGGAGGTTTGGTGAGATGACTACATGCACATGTGCGCGTGCACGTGCACACACACACACACACACACACACACACACACACAGTGCTCACACAAGACTCCCAGATGCTCCCAGCCCTGACTTACCTTGCTGCAACCTTTCTTTCTTTTTGAACTGAAGTTCTCATTTGGCATCACTTCTCTCTTTGATCACAGAAGTGAAGAAAATGGCGCCATGACATACAAACACTGTTGAAATATCCTTTGACACCTAGGACCTAGAAAGACAGAGAGAGCCCCAAAATGGGCTTTTCTAGACTTTTTCTATTAACACATAAACAGGTGTGGATATATCAGATTAGCTAGTTACATGGAAGTGTTGAAATCTGAGGCAGAAGAAAAAATGGAAATGGGGCATTGGAGAAAACAGCATTAGCACCAAAAACAAACTGCCTCTCTCAAGCTTACGCCTGGGGTGAGGTGACTGTGAGACTGAATCAATTGCTACAGGCATTCTTTATCCACTGATCCAAATTTCCTGTTTATAACTTTTCATATTATTAGTATATGACTCAGTAACAAAAAGTTGTAAGGTATTTTGGCTAAAAAAAAAAACCCTCTGACAAAACAGGGTACCCACGTTCTGATGAAATATTTCACTGGGCGGATAGAGTTTTTACATTAACGCTGTGACTAGAGGGGGAAAATGAGATACAAAAATATAGTGATTATTTATTTATACTCCATCTTGTTCCAGGGAAGATTTAGAGTGGAAACCAAGGTAATTATCTGATTATGCAAGCAAAAACAGCAAAAAAGTAAATAATCCAGGTTTTAGGAAAAGATGTGCGCGTATATATAATGTGCACGTTTGTGCTTGTACGTGTGTGTTGTATTCTAGATTTAAATTTTAGCTCTCTTACATACACTTAAACATAGAGAAACACAATCAGATGAATAGGAGCTGTGAGTGATATGGTAAATTATCTTCTGCTGTGATTTGAAATAGGTCATCTAGTATAAAGTTGAGAGGTGACAATGTTATGGTAGGGTCAAGAATTTTTAGGGAGGGAGAAAAGTTCACTTCTTTTTCTTCTTCCTCTTGAGAGCCATAAACCATATGTCGTCACAGACCCCATCTGTGCTGCCCAATCCAAGAGCCACTGGCCACATGTGTCTACTAAGTACTTGAAATGTGGCTAGTCTAAAATGAGATGTGTTGTAACATAAAATGCACACAGGGTTTCTAAGATTTCTATGAAAATGTAAGCTATCTCGTTAATATTTTTGTTTTGATCATATATTGAAATGACACTTCATATGTATTCAGTTAAAATACGCTTATGAAAATTAATTTACTTGCTTCTTTTTACTTCTAGTGTTGTCACTAGGAAATTTGAAATTATACACCTCCCTCTCATTTGTTACTTGGTACAGATTTCTATTTGAGAGTACTGGGCTAGACATGCAGTCCTAGCATAGAACCCCATGAAAGGTTGCAAGCAAGTGATGGTGTTAAAAAGTCAGAACAGTTTTATTGTGGATTTGGTGGGGGTCAAGCTTCCAGCTTGGTGGGAGAGGGCAAAGGAATTTCTTCACCGTTCTCATATACATCTAATTAGCTGAGATACAACTTTGCCAACTTCAGAGCCCATAGTCAGCTACATTGAAGAGAATGGAAAGGAATAATGCGGAACTTTGAACCTTTCCTGGGCACATCCATGAGGGGGAAGAAAAAGTTAAGTAATTTTACCTGTAGAATTTCTATTTCTTCAGAGAGATTTTATTGTGCCTAAATATTATATTTGCTATTGTTGACTTTCCAATCTAGATGGGGGCTGCCATTCCACTGGGTCAGTATTTCCTCAGAGGAATTGTGGTTGTTGAAAAGAAATCGTACTCTTTTTGCATTTGGAACACAACTGTTCCATTTGATGGGGAAGCGAGATCGTTTATTTTCTGTCCCGGATGTGCCCTCTCTTGACGGCTTATTTACTTAACTTCTCTCAGCCTTGTTTCCTCCTGTGTTCCAAACTCTGATATTTGATGATTCTGTGTGACACTGGAACACTCTCGTGCCCGTTTGTAATTCACCTCCGCCTTGTTCAGTGAAGAAGGCATGCATGCAAATCTGCTCACCCACCTATCTTGTGCTTGTTCTACATCTTAAAACCACAAAAACAGTGGGAACCTAATTCACTCAGAGGTTTTATGGTTGAAGAAAGCATGTTTCGGTGGTCTCTTATTCACGCCCCCCCCCCCCAACCCCATTCTCTAAATTGGGTCTGAACTGGTTACTATGGCAACACAAGCCCTAGAAACTTGATATGTCTTCTCTAATACATCCTACTTTGAGAAACCTATAAAAACAATATTTCTGTATGGTGCCAGGGTCCAATTCATTTTAATTTAAGGTTGAGACCAGTTAGAAAAGAAAGACCCATCAAAATAAAATTTACAATACATATGTATCCCTAAACCTTTAGGAAACTAGGCCCTAGGTACAGTAAGGAGTAAGAAAGGAACTGCTGTATTAGATGCCTGCGAGGCTGTCAATCTACAAGTGTTTGGCAGTGGGAAATTTCCTTGGAAAAGAGAAAAATCTCCAAGAGATTTAAAGATCCTATTGAAATTCACACTGCGAATTGCCATTCCCCACAAAGGCCCCTTAAGCTGAGACAGTGAATGAACACGAGTCTCCCTAACTGGGCCAGTGCTGACAGCCTTGGCACCACTTTTCGTATTCCAGCAGCCTCTCCTGTCAGCTCTGGGGCCTGTGGAACCCTCCGAGGCCCGGGGAGAGGCAGGCAGAGGGTTTTCTCAGGGCCTTGTGAACTCCTGGCTGGGCTACAAGCTAAGATGTCCGTTCAGTCAGATTCCCTCTGTGCTTTTAAAAGAAACAAAAACAAACAAACAAAAAACTGATTTCAAATTCACTTTATGATTTAGAATCTATTATGTCTTCCATGTGAGTTCTTTGCACACCTGAAACTCCCTTTAATCATCTTCTACCAACGTTCAAGTACCACTGGTGGATTGACCAGCAAGATTGCTCTTTATGGCTAATTCCACCTGAGAGCGGCTTGCTTTTTTATGGCTTTCTTCATCAACTCATTCTATTTTCAGCTCTCATCTGATTCCTTGCACACACACACCCTTTGAAATTTCCTCCCATTGGCCCTGGCGTACATTTTTATATTCCTTATTTCATTGTTCAAAATGTATGTGAAAGCACTAGGTTGGGAACCCAGAGATCTGAGTTCAATTCTGGATTCTCTGCATTCTCTAACTATGACATTGAAGGGGAATGCTTTGTTCTTTCCCTCTGACCAGGACCTGGTAAAAAATTATTGGGATATAACTGATTATATCTGGGATGACAGTGAGTTGAGTAGTACTGAGCCCTTGCAGAGAGCCCTCAGCTAGGGATTAGGAGATCTGATTACTCCTGCTAGTCCCCAAACCTAAAAACAGATATGAGGCAAAACATGGAGGACACAGTAGTAACTGAGATAATATAGGAATAAATGTAAAAACTTTAGCTCAACAATCAAGATTAAATTTAAAGCAGACTTTTAATATAAATTATATATATGCATGAGTTTACACAGGCATTATCTCATTTTTAATGCTTTGATATTATTGCTAAAAAGCCATTACTAAGTTTAGTCCCATTTCAAAGCCTCTCACCTGCCTGGCCAGAGTTCTTTCATTGAGGCTGCAGAATGGCAAGCCTAATAATCTGTGGTCTGAGGGAAAGACAGATGTGGCAAGCATCAGGGCTCCGGAGATCATTAGTCACTTAGTGAGATATTCCATGCAAACCTCTAAGCCAGTCTCCAATACAGATTTCTAAGCAACACTCTCCAGCTGCATATCAGGGATGACATCCCTGGGGACAAGCAAATCTACAAGGTTATAGATATGTCAAGATGTCTATATCCTACCTAACAGTTGCTGCAAGGATTGCCAGCCACCTTCCTCCATGAGAACAAATTACTGACACTCTGGAGGCTTCCCCCCACCCCCATCATGCTTACTGGAAGGAAAGCAACATCCTGCTCAATACAAATGGTTCCGTACAAAATCTCTCCCTTTTGAAGTCATTTTGGAAGTATAGAACTTAAGTTTGTGTGTATGGCAGACCTAATTATTTCCTTTTTGCACTGTGATTGTTGAAGCATCTCATTTTTGGAATAGATATGACTCTAAACAGTTGTCTGTAAAGTGAGTTTTGCCAATTCTATATATGAAATATTATTTTCTCCATTATGTATCATTTAAATTAAGTTGAATTCAGCAAACATCTTCCGAAGGCCTATTACATGCCCAGCACTGTGCTGAATGTATAGGCTTCAGAGGCGAATGAGATGCAGCTGTTGCCTTCAAGAAGCTAGCAATCTAGCTGGAGAATCAGGCCTCTCAAAAATTAACTCCAGCAGAACGCACTGCATGCTAGAACGGCTGTATGAAACGATTATTACAGAAGCGGAAGGGAGAGAGTAATTAATTCCACTCAGATGGGTCAGGGAAACCTTCACAGAAACGAAATTGGAGCTGGACGGTTAAGGATGCTTTAAGGTTTTTCCAAGAGTGAAGAGTAGGAGGAGGGGAGTACAGGCAAAAATAATGCAGAGTGGAAGGCACAAAGACAGATTGCAGGAACATCCATTCAATGGGGGGAAAAAAGTGCTGTCGCTGCAATGAATGGTGGGGGATTAGCAGGACAGGGGATTCTGAGCATCCTTGTCTGCCTTCTGCCACATGACAGCCAATGAATCTCTTAAGACGGAGGACGCGATACTAGATTGTTTTTAAAAACATAAATGATGGCATATGGGAGAAACAGATTGAGGGAAAAGATTGAAACCATAGAAATTAATCTATAGGATGATGTGGGTCTAAAATAAGGGGATGGTAGTAGGGATGAGGACAGGAGAAAAGAAGGTCAGAGACATTTGCGGAGTAGTATGGAAAGGACTGGGTCACTGGATAGATTGCTGAGTAAGAGGCTGGCATGGGGTCACTATTCCTAGATTTCCTCCTGGGGATAATTGGGTGCATGCAGATGTTTTTGACAGAAATTTAAAACACTACAGGAAGGAACATTCACATTTGGAGAGACATGTAATTTAGTTGTGGATATTTGCAGTTTGAGATGTTTGTGAAACATCCAAGTAAGAGGTCCAGTACGAAGGTGTAGAAGTCATGAGAAAGGGCAGGACCAGAGGCACAAAGTTGGAGATCATCAGCTTATAGATGGCTGTTGCAATTCTGGTAGCAAATGGCATTACCAAGGTGACCTTCCCATGAGGCAAAAACAGATAAGGACTCAACTCTGATGTATTCCACTATTTGAGGGACAGCTGGAGAAAAGTGAAGAGGGTAGTATGATGCCAAATAGGAATCAAATGTAGAAGAAAAGCTCACAGAAGTATCACCATTGAAGCTAAGTTAAGGAGAGCATATAACAACAAATCTAGAATGAAAGGGAAGTGGGGTTCACTTTTTGTTACATCAGCCTGGATCACAAAGGCAGTGTGATTTTGGGAAAGAGGAATGACTCAGGCAGACAGACCTGGATTCCATTTCTCAACGTAACACTTGTTCTCTGTAGGCTCTTGTAGGTTTATTTTCTCCAAGCCTGTTTACTCATCTGCAGTTCATGTTTACTCATGAACATGGATTGAAAAAAAAATGTATATAAAGCACCAGGAAAAGGTGACATATGGAAAAGACAATTGATAATGGTAGTGCCTTCTAGCACCAGGCAGATACCAGAGGTTGTGGT